TGTGAGCTCCCTCAGCAGACCCAGCTGGTAAACATGGGAGCACAGATCCCCAGGGGCTGTACAAACAACCCCTAGCTGTGAAGACCTTTCTCTAGAACCCTCAGGGACAACCACCAAAGGGGTGGAGATGCAAGACTCTTTTAAAGATTTCATTTAAAAATGGGCAGAAATAAAACACATTTGTGTGGTGTGTGTGTGTGTGTGCGTGTGTGTGTGGTGTGAGGGGGTGGGATTTGTGTGGTGTGAGTGGGTGTGTGTGTGTTCAAGAAAAATAAAACTCTACCTCCTTGCTGGAGCCTGCATTGTTTTAAAAAAAAATTTTTTTATTTTCACCAACTCTTGAGAAGAGGGAGATAGTGTTACAAGTGGTATAAAACGAGAAGTGAATCGCATGCACAGTGGGCCAGAGATTATCTGGGCCCCGACCTGAAGCAGAGAGCTGACCTGAAGCAGACAGCGGTCAGAGCCAAGCCTCCCCAGAGGAGCCAGCAGAACCAGGCATGCGCAGCTTTTACCAGGTTGACTGCGTGAACCCAGGACAGCCAACAGCCAACAGTCAACAGTCTTTGTGCAAAACAGGCTGTGTCTCCCAAGGCTGCTTCAGGAAGCCGTAACTCAGCTTTATTTTACAGGGTGGGCAGGTCAGGCTCTCTAAATACCTGTCTCATTCTCTTGACTGTCCCCAAATGCAGCAACCTGGAGTTCCATGTTAGCGCTGCGGCAGGTGACTGCAAGAGTTTGCCAGTCTCACAGATGAGAGGCTGGCCTCAGAGTCCACAACCTCACCGCAAAGAAGACGCCCTGGCAAAATTTTACCAGTTTGGGGTCCAGGATTTCTAATAAAAATCCCAGTATCTGAGCTATATTTTCATAATCTTATTCTCTTTTCAGATGCCACGCCACCTCCCCAAACCCCCCTGGTTTTTTTGAGACAAGGTTTCTCTGTGTAGCCTTGGCTGTCCCGGATTCACTTCACAGACTTCGAAGACGGGGCTGGCCTCGAACTCACAGCGATCCGCCTGCCTCTGCCTCCCTGAGTGCTGGGATCATAGGAGTGCGCTACCACACCTGGATGCCATCCCCTTTTCTCAAACATTATTCTAAATGTTCTTAATGTCCTTTACATTTCAAAATAGACTGTGGGTGAAAACTGATTAACGGACTCTTTAAGGAAGAAAACTACACTCACGAAATAAAAATGCAAGAAGCTTCACCTACACGGAGGCAGCAGCAGCTTTTATTCATGAAAGGCAACGCTGTCCTTTAAAGGCGATGATTCTTGTTATTTAAAAGCTCCCCCAAGGAACTTCACTGAGCCTAAGATTCATCTCAAACTTTTTAAAAAAGCATTATGAAGGTAAGAGAATTTCTATGTTCTTCCATCTACATTTTTTTGTCTTTGCCCAAGCTTTTTTAAAAAAAAGCATGAAAACCCTAAAACAGGCCAGATTTGTGCTCTCTCCCCATCTAGAGGCTTTGATTTCCGCCCTTTATGGAAAGGGCACAAACAGATAGCTTCCTGTTCAGTCCTTGCTGATGGCCAGACTTTTACACACCACAGAAATGCCCGCCCCTCCTCCTTTACTTCCCTTATCTTAATTTAAACGTGTTGAAATAGGAGCCTGTGGCGGCGCACTAACGCTTTCCTCTGAGGTTTATCTTACGCCAGCATTAAGAACGCAAAAAGGCATCAGCGCTGATCTCTGGTTACGTGGTATTCCTAAAATGTTTTCATTGCAGTGTTTCTATGCAGAAGACTTAGCACTCGGGTGGGTGAGATTTTTTTGATGTACTAAAAGTTAACATATTTAGATTTATAGGCCCTACTTGAATTTCCTGATTACTATTATATGCAACTAGGAAAAAGAATCCCCACATCACTCCCCTCTCATTTCTAATTACGTGAAAATGTCAAAAAGAACACGATAAAATGGCTGTCAATGCAAAGAATCACTTTAAAAAAAATAGCTATATATTATATTAACCCTGTGTTTTCCTTTTAAAACGGGATGCCTTAGCAAAACTGAGCTAGACGCATTCTTTTGTGCTTGGGTGAACAACCGGAAAGCCAGCCCTCCAGGCCTTGGGGAAGAACCCTGCGCTGATGTTCGGGGAGATAAGGTCCCATCGTGCCACTTAAGGGACGGCCAGCCCGCTTTCAAATTTCTGCATTCCTCAAGAACAATTCATGGCAAGAAGCAACTTTGCAGAAGAGCCACATGAAAGCTGGGGCCCATGAATGAGGGTCATCTGCTCTTTATCACAGGGTAAACCTCACCCTGGCCAGCGTCTAACCTTTTAACCCTGCCCATTCCTAATTTACACATGAATAATGGAATTCTGGCCCAGAGTGCAACTTTCCGCTTCTAGCTGCTAAATTCAGAAACTAAGATTAAGCCCTGTGTGTTTAAAAAAAAAAAAAAATGTTGAGTGGTGCAGATTAAAAGTTTTAGATTACAGGTAGCTACTGCTGCTAAGCCAAAAGATGCATTCACTCATAAAATCCCTAAGAAAACAAAAAGAACACATTTGTGCCCTGCTGTTACCAGTAAGTGGAAGAACTGTCTTTAAACACACACACACACACACACACACACACACACACACACACACCAACAGAATGCCACTTACTGCTCCCCTCTTCCTGCTCACTTTGGATAACATCTGCACAGGAAGAGCAATTAGAGCCCCCGTCACAAGATACTGCTTCTTAAACAACAAAACTGTATGACTTCAGGATCCATGGGAGCCTTATTTTTCACGAGAAACCTAAGTTTAAATCCACTGTACGTGTCTTGTTTTAAATCCATAACAGTGACTGGAGGAAACAATTCCAGTTAAAAGTCCCCGACCACAGCAAAGAGATGGTCTAAGTTTGGTTTGTTTGTGAGGACCCGTGAGATGGCTCAGGGAGTAAATAAACATTTCTAAGACAGGGCTTGATGATATAGTCCAAGCTGGCCTAGAACTGCCTCACTATCTTCCCGCCTCCGCTTTCCACACGAGGGGATCACAGGTATGTGCCACACCTGATTTTTCAATGTAAAGTTCTGATATTTGCAACATGCAGATTAGGTCTTCTGCTTCCACACAATACTTTGCAAAGTGATTAATATCTAAGTATTGTTAATGAAGTTTTTAAAGATACAAAAATGTGAAGATGCTCAAAAGGGCAAACGCTTTTTGTATGATTGGTTGGGATTCTTTATCTGGGGTTTGGTTTTGGGGCTGGAACTGAACCCAGACACTCATTCATGTCAAACAGAAGCTCCAACACTTCTTCACAAACCCAGCCCCTGGTCCTAGCATGCTTCATTATTTATGGAGTCAGAAGGCTGGGTGAACTGTGGGATTCTGTCAGGCTCCTCAGGAGGTCCTGGAAATAAGTGCGGTCCAGATAAATGTTTGTCTTTTAAGCCACTCCCCGCCTCCACTCACTTCCCCACAAAGGCAACACAAATGACAAAATTAAAAAGGGAAAAATGATTCCGCAAATGTGCAAAGATGGAAATACAGGAATCCCAGAGTGGACTGTACATTCGACAAGACTCAAAGGAACAGAGCATAAAGCTGAAGTGCGTTCTCCTCAAAGTGGTACTGCACAGTGAAACCAGTACTCAATGACAGAAAGACTCCTGGCCAACGATCAGAGCCAGGGGAAAACTGCAGGAGGTGGGTGGGTATTGGGGATGCGGTTTAGCAGCTATCTTTTCATGGTTATGTTCTTTGGCAGGGGCGGGGGTGGGGCTGGGTTTGGAAGCATCTCTAATTTGTTCAACAGAGTTCAACATAGTTCTCTGCTTGCAGTTGTTTTCCGAAACTCATCATCAGCGCACAAGCCACATCAAGTGCTTCTCCAAGTGCAGCGGCGCCACGCCCGAAAGCCGCAGGTGAAGTCGCCTGGGAAACGGAAGCTCCCCCCCCAAGCCTCTTGTGTAGACCTTGGACAGACCACTCCCTAAGGGTTCTGCCACTATCTCAAGAACATGCTCTTCCTGCTGTGCGCTTTATGAACAAGGGGTCAGTGTGCGTACAGTGCTGAGCCTGCCCCGTGTAGGTTAACAGCTAGGCCCGTAAAACTCCTTCCAGCGTCCCGTTTCATTGGGTGCCGCTTGGCCACCTGAAGACACGGTGCTGCCACCCCGGGGGATCTCTTAGGCTCACGCAGGCTCCCTCCCTTGATGTTAATATAAAGGACATCCTTAGGCAACAAACTGTATGACAACTGGAAGAAAAAAATGGGCCAATGTGGGGGCTGGGAAGATGGTTCAGCGGTTAGGAGCACTGGCTTCTCTCCCAGAGGACCCGGGTTCAAATCCTAGCCCCACATGGCAGCTCACAACTGTCTCCAGTTCCAGGGGATCTGACGTCCTTATACCGACACACATGCAGGCAAAATACACATGAAATAAAAATTTTTAAAGTTAGAAAAAAGAGAGAGATAGCAGATCTGGCTTAATTCCATTAGGCCTAACACAGAAACAGACCTTAATCTCTTTCCTTCCCAGCTGGAAAAGACTAGAAATACTTGAAAGGCTTGCAATCAAAAAGCAACATGGGTGATCTAAGAACAGTCCGAGAGAGATTGGGCTGTAAGAAAGATTTAGCACTCAAGAGCCAGCCACACGGCAGGAAGATTTATTTGTGATTGTTTCCATTCAGTGACTTCCAAAAGATTAAAATCTTACAACAGCTTCGTTTGCACTGGTCAAACTTCTTCATGTAGTTCTTACAGTGAGCAACACTGGAAATTTACCTAGGGCCACCTGGTCAGGTTTCCTCTGACACTATGTTCAAAGTCTAATTTGAGTTTGGTTCCCAACAACACAAGTTTACTTTTTTTTTTTTTTTTTTGCAGATTTCTCTGCCTGCCTCCGTTAGTGCCAGCTGGTACCATCTCTGGTAAACTTCTTAATGTATGTAAGGTTTTAGTGCTATTCATAAGTCAATCTTCTAGAAATGAAAACCGTTAACCGCCAAGTAGAACTCAGAACACTTACTTGACAATGTCAGGTGAGCCTTCTGACTAAGGATGGCCCCGTACTTGTTCACTGCCAGGCACTGGTAAAATCCTTCATCCGAATGCTCTCCTCGCCTGCCTTCCACCTCGCTGATGTATAAAGAGCCATTAGACAGAACCTGGATCCGTTTGTTTTCAGACAATTTTGCTCCGTTTTTCAACCACGTGACCTTAATGGGACCTTCTCCATGAGCCTGGCAATCTAAAAAGACGGAGTCTTTCCTTGTGACAGTTACATCCTGTGGTTCTTTCTTGAAGAACAGTTCGCTAAAGCTCCAGACTCCTGCAGAGAAAAAGGGAGAGGGAGAGGTATATCCAGAATTATAGGCATGAAGTTGTGCCCCGCACAACTGCAGAAGACATACTTGTTAGGGCAGCTTCTGCAGCCACAACGCAACGGTCAACCTCCAAGGACCTTAATAAACGCAAACCCTTTCAGCGACTGAAAACATTCTAAGAAGATTCAAAAGACTCATGCGGCCAAAGAATTTGGTTCTCAGGTTTCTTGCCAAAGACCCAAAATCATCAGAACTCACTAGCACAAGCCGTTGGCTACTTTTACAAGCTTGTCAAAAAGATCTTGAACAGGGTTAAGTCATAAAAGTCTAATTTTACAAGAAATCATTAGCAAAACTCCAACTCTGTGAACAAGCAAGTTTATTTCCTTGTCTCTTGAAGTGTTTTTGGGAAACCCAGCACCTACTCCTTTGGGAAGTGCGTTTATCTTTTGTGACAAATTACAAGTTTGCATTTTTTTTTCTATCTGCCCTTTTACAGCAGGGATGCTGCCGCCTCGCCTTAAAAGAAATCCATTTACTTCATTTCTGCCAAGCCAGCTAGGTATTTAAAGGACACACAATAGACTTTGAAAAGTTGGTAACTCTTGCTGCTTGTACTCAGTGGGTGATCGGATTAGGAAACCTTTATTTCACGTTTTTAGTGCTACCAACTGTTGGAAAAAAAAAATGCGTGACTAATTGATCCTTACTGTCTAATAGGGATAGGAGATTGCTTAATCAACCAATACACATTTTTATCAGAGCAGAGGAAATGCTTTATCCAAGCATACACAAGCCCCTGGTCCCCCAGAATAAAGCATCCGTTGCCTCCTGCCATGAGAGCAAAAGCATGTTGATCTGAGCCAACACAAAGTTAGGAATCTCGGTGGGAGTTTTTTGTTTGTTTGTTTGTTTGTTTGTTTTTACACTTCTCTTGGTCAGTTTGAAGCCCTGATTACAAATACCCAGCAATGATTTATCTCTGTTTCTGATCAAAATAGATCCTGAAAACCTCATAGTCTGGGGCTCCAGACTTCCCTAAGGTCTGCCCGGCGCAGCTACCCCAGCAGCCCCGAGCAGCATGCCCCACTCCGGAAGACGCCCATTGTGTTTCGGAGCCGCATCCCACTTTGATCCTTTCTCTTGCTAACTGAAACTAACTCCTCCAAAAAAAAAAAAAGAGACGGGGGAGGGGGGAGGCCGAAAGAAAGAAAAATCAGTGCTTGTAACTTATAAATAACTCAAGCCCTCTCTTCAAATTCCCTCCTTTCCCTAATATTTACTTTACACTTTTCGGTCTTGGAAGAAACCAAGATTGAAGAAAGGGAGATAAATAAACTTATGCAAGTGTGTGCAAGGTTAATCTGGAGGCTTCAGGGACCTCAAACCGAGACCCCAAGTCATGCAGGAAGTTAAGTTCTATTCAGACACCTTTCTCCCGGCCTCTCGGGGCACAAGTGGGCTACACTACTTTAAGCTCGTCTCTATGCAATTTTACCCTCCCAACTCCTTGCTCGCTTTCGAGCTGGAGAGGCGGGGGTGGGCTCCCAGCTCGGTCGCCCCGAGACCCGGGGGAACCCCACTGCAAACCCTGAAAACGGCGCGCAACCGCTGCGCTCCACCGCGCGGCGAGGCTGCCACTCAGGAAACAATATAAATAAAACCACGTGCGGCTGCGGCCCGGGAGGCAGCGCGGAGCCCCCGGCTGGCCGCAGCGCGGACAATGGCGTGACCAGGGCGAGTGGACAGCGGCCCCGTGGAGGCTCGGCCTCGGCGGAGGAGCGCTCGGAGCGCGCATCCCGGGGGAACCCCGGCCGGCGGCACCACCCGGGGCATCCCTGCCCGTCCCCCGCCCTCTCCCCGCGCACGGTCGCGCACACTCGCCCCGGGAGCGCGCCCACCTGGAAGCGAGCCGAGCGGCGGCAGCAGCAGCAGCAGCAGCAGCAGTAGGGGCGGCATCCCCGGGCGCACGGGAGGCGCCATTCAGCGGGGCTGCGCGGGCATGCTCCCGGGCCGTTCGCCCGCTGCTCCCGCTGCTCTCCTGGACCCGCGGCTCCGCTGCAACCCGCTGCTCCTCCGGCGTGGCGAGGCGACGCGCCGCTCGCAGGCGCACGGACCCCCGCGCGCGCGCGCCAGGCCGCGGGGACCACGCGCGTCGCGTCCAGCCCGGGGCGGAGGGAGGCTGCAGAGGGCGGCGCAGTGGACAGCCTGGCCGGCCGCGGACTACTTTCTACATCTGGCCCCTGGGCCCCGCACGGCGAGGTCGGCGCTGCTGGCGGAGGGACACGCTGCGATCGCCTGGGCGACCCCGGGGACAGGGGGAGGGCCCCGCCGGACAATGCACCTGGGGGTCAGGCCCCCGCCCCTCGGCCTGCGCGCCACGGCCGGCCACCGGGCCACAAAGGCCAATCCTCCTGGCCGCGGCCAGTCCCCCGGGGCCCTTCTCCCTCCTGCGGGCCAGTTAAGGATTCTGCACGGAGGAGGGGGTGGGGTGGAGGGATGGTGTTGAGAGATGTGGAAAGGCCGGAGACTTCTCCCCTGACGGCCCCTTGCCCATCCCCCTGCCTTTGCTCACCCGCCCAGGCCCTGTTTTTAGTAAAGTCCAGTTCCCACTTCTGAAGCTTGTCAGCGCCCCTGGAGGCATCCTATGGCGGCAGCCCCAACCCCCAGCTACCACCCACATTTGGAGACTCTTCTTATCATCCCTGGTCCCATCAGTTACAGCCTTGGCTTCAAAATCATCAAAGAGAGCCCTAAAATTAGCAGTTGCTTTTTTTTTTGGGGGGGGGGTGTGACGCTTTAACTCTGCCTCAGGTTAATTAAGTTTTTAATACGTGAGAACTAAGCGCAGGAAGATCCCTGTCCTGGGAGGGGAGACGAGATCAGGGGCTGTCCAGAGCTTGCTGTTGTGGGGCCAGACTTCGGTGGGTTACCTGCATAAAAGTTAGGCAGGTGAAAGAAGACACCATGGATGGGAATTTGTTCGCAGCTCTTGAAGTGAATTAAGGATAAACCTAGAGGAGTCGAAATGTACATTTAAAGGGGGCGAACATGGGTACAGAGCCTACGGAGCCTTTACACGTGGATTAGCGTTTGCTAATCCCGATCTAAATCTTTGGCACATGACGAGGGCACAGGCTAAAAGCTAACTTTAATTAAAGCCGCTGACGGAAATCTAGCTTTTGTCACTGACTGCCTTTAGCAAGTTTCAGGAATCCTCCAGATTGCGTTGGGGAGGGGGGGGAGGGGGGGAGTGTGGTTTTGAAAATCCATCAGGACCCCTGCCCTTCTTGCCTAAAACTTAAGAAAAGTCAATCTGCTTTGCAATTTCGTTGTAATCCCATGTAAATCAGCAGGACCCCTGGCTCTGTTGCGTCTTATAGTTTAGATGCGTTTGAACAATTTCTAAACCTCAGAATAAAACTTCATGGTGAAGGAAACTTTGTTTGGGGTAATAAAATGAAGAACTTCAGATTAGATTTTTTAAATATCTAATCATTGAAATTTACAAAAAAAAAGAATGAGGTGTGTTAAGCTTTTCAACTTAATTTAAACTACATTTTTGTTTGGATCCTTTTGAGACAGGCGCTCACTTTGTAGCCTAGAGGAACCTGGACCTCACTTGTGTGTGGTCCAGGCTGGGATGGAACAGGCGTGAGCCAGGATTCCCAGACCGGCCAGGTTTTTCTGTATCTTATGATTATTTTCTTCTTTCTCTTGACTTCACCTCCTTAGTCCCAGCTGACCCCAAGTATTCCTATTTCCTGGATATACTGCTAATAAGATGTTTTCATTCAGTTACGGCCAGGAGCCTTAATGACTTGGGACGTGGTGCTGCCTTGGGGAAGGAAGGGTATTTGCATTGAAACAAAATGAAGGAAGACGACTTAGTACATTAAACAGCCTGATGAACCAAGCCTAACGTGTTTACTGCACCTCGGTGGACAGGAGGTGAGTTCCTCATTGGTGATAAACCTATGATGTAAACAGAGATGCTGGGGGGGAAGGGTTTATTCCACCTCACGTCTAAAAGTCCTTCACTGAGGGAAATCAGGGCAGGAACCTGGAGGCAGGAAGCAGGGACCACTGAGGAGTACTATTTCCTGGTTTGTGCAGGGTTTTGTTTGTTTGTTTTTGCTTTGCTTTTTAAATTTATCTATCTATCTATCTATCTATCTATCTATCTATCTATCTATCTATTTATTTATTTATCTGAGGCGGTTTCTCTGTTTAGCCTTGGCTGTCCTGGACGCACTCTGTAGACCACACTGGCCTGGAACTCACAGTGATCCGCCTGCCTCTGCCTCCCAGAGTGCTGGGATTACAGGCAGGCACCACAGCGCCTGGCTGCATTTTAAAATTATTTTTTTAAATTGTATGTGCATTGGTGTTTTGCCAGAAGGTATGTCTGTGTGAGGCTGTCAGATCTTGAGACAGGTGTGAGCGGCCGTATGGGTGCTGGGAATTGAACCCTGGTCCTCCAAAAGAGCAGCCAGTGTTCTCAACTACTGAGCCATCTCTTCAGCTCCCTGGTTATTTTGGGGGTTTGTTTGTTTGTTTGTTTGTTTGTTTAATATCGCATCCAAGCCCACCAGCCCAGCAGTGGCATCACCCACCGTGAGCTGGGCTCAGCCACATCAGTTCTCAGGTAAGAAAACAAACCATAGGCCTGCCCGCAGGCCAGTATGGAGGCAGCATTTTCTCAGTTAAGTCTCCCGCCTCCTAGCTTGTGCCAAGTTGATATACTTGCCAGCACAAATGTCCTACTAGTAATGTCTCCTACTTAATTTGAAGAAATAGATTTAACCAAGGCACACATTAATAAGCTATAGCTAGGGGCCAAGGTTTATGTTTTCCAGTTCCCCAGTTTTATCTGTTTTTGCTATGGAGTCCTTTCTGATTGTAAACTCTTCTTTACGTGGTTTTTCTAGTACGAGAGTGTGAACCCAGGCCCCATATTTTCAAGGCAAGCACTCAACCATTGCTCCGTACTCTCCAGCCCCCTTGTCTTTTCTACTTTGTCTGATTTTTTTAAGCTGATTTTTTTATTTTTGAGCGTGCATGGCTGTCTGTGTGGTTTTGTGCTTGAGAGTGTAGATGACCAGGGAGGCCAGAAGAGGGTGTCAGAGCCCCTAGAGCTGGATTTATGTTTGGCTGGGAGCCTCCTACCGTGGGTAATGTGAACCCAACTCGGGCCCTCTGTAAAAGCTGTATGTGTTCTTAACTGTTGAACTGTCTTTCATTTTATTTTTATTTTATTTTTTTGAGACAGGGTCTTCTATAGCAGAGACAAGCCTTGAGCTCCTGCTCTTCCTGCCTTCACCTCCAAGGGCTGTGGTTACAGGTATGTACCACCATTCTCAGGACATTCTGAGCTTGGGAATCAAACCCAGGGCCTCATGCTTGCTGGGCAAGTCTCTACCAACGTACCTCAATCCCCAGTCTCCCTTGTCTACCTAAAAACAAACCAACCAAACAAACAAAATCCTATTCTGATGGCTTGAGGACCCGGAGCCCATTTCTTTGAATAACTCAGTACATATCTCCTCGCTCACTGACCTCACATATTATTGCTCTTGCATCATGGACTGAGCCCCATAGCTGGTTAAGAGCTAGCCATCCAGCTCTTGGAATGACCTGCAATTTCCACCCAGAAGCGTATGTTTCATCCACTATGCGACGCCACAGTGGGGAAGCCTGGTTTGGGGTTTCTGACACACTCAGGTTCGGATTTCAGTATTCTATAAACAGTTGCTGAAGCTCTCTCCACCCCAATTTATTTAATGGGAAGGAAGCCAACGCCGGCGGGCTGCAGGGGGCTACCAGCACGGGTGGGAAGCAGCTGCTGCCCAACTCTGTAAGTCATCGCCATCATTACTGTCCAGTAAGCAGATAGCCCCAATAATGACAGACCTTCATCCTTTCAGGCAGCTTTGATTTTGAAGAGTTCATTTCCAGGGGTCAAATCTGATTGACTTGGAGCCGGCTCTGACACCCTCCTCGAGCAGTGCCTGCAGGCCCCGGAAGGAGTAAGATGAGGTGTCCAGCCTCCTGGGGTTCCCCTCAGAGGAGGAAGCTCCTCAAGACCCATGCTCATGTCCCGTTTTACTTTCATATTCTGAAGCAAGGTCGCTGATTTTTCAGACTGAAATTGTAGGTCACAGGTACCCAGTGTAACGAACCGAAGGGGCGGGGGGAGGGGGGTATGGCTCTGTGGGTGAAGTGCTTGCTGCACAACCGTGAAGACCAGAGTTCAAATCCCCAGCGCCCTTATGAAACCCCGGCACCGCAGTGCACCTCTGTAGCCCAAGCAATGGGGAGGAGCAGACAGGTGGGTGACAGGCAGACTGATGACACACTGGTGAGGCAGCCCAGCCCAGGCAGTGAACTGCAGGCTCGGCAGGAGACCTCCAGCAGGATGACGGGGCTGGAGATGGCCAAGGCCGCCCGCTCCCTACAGAGGACCTTGTTCAGTTCCCAGAGCCCACACACGGGGCTCCTAACCCACAGAACCTCAGTTCTGGGGACACGGTGACCTTCTCTGCCCCCTGGAGGTACACAGGCAGCGCACTTACATGCACGCAGGCAACACACTCTTACACATCAAATAAAAATAGATAAATCTTAAAAAGAAAAATCAACACTGAGGACAATGCCCAACATCAACCACTGACCACCATATACTTGTGTGTCCACCCACATACGCTGTGGAGTGCTCTCCAAGGCCACCCACCCGAACATAACCTGTGCATTCAGTCCCTGCAGAGCATCACGGCCCACGGACAGGAAGCAGCAGAACGTTGATTTCTCAGATAGCTTCCCTGTGTGGTCAGGAGAGCCGGGGAAGCATGGGGCCGCAGGGCTGGGACCCTCACTTTCCGGAAGCTGCTTCTGGGCAAGCCTATCGGCTACCATCAGAAACTCTGAAGTGAGGGCTGGAGAGATGGCTCAGGGATTAAGACCACTGCTCTTCCAAAGGACCC